CTAAAGCAAGCAACTATAGCAAGTATGAATTTTTACTATTCTCATTAATAAAACTGTACAACTAGTACATTCTACTTTATATATAAATATATATATACATCATTATTTTATTAAAATTTTAGAGTGTTTAAACTATTTCTGCTTAAAGTCATTAAAACTTGACACGCAAGAAACAAATAAAATTCTGGCAAATAAGAATAGCTTCATTACAGAAGATATTAATTCTGCAATAAAAAGAATAAAAAAAGAACAACAGATTGAGACATGAGTTGGGCGATAATTAGTTATATGTTAAAATTTATTTAAACACATTGTATGTTTTCTTTTAAGATATTTGTAAAGATTGATATAAACTATATCAGAGTATTTATTTACAGAGACTTGATATAATATATTCAAATTTAATCATATTGCAACATTTTCAAATTTATAATGTTATTAAAAAAATAACACTTTCATGAGTTTATACTATTTAAAATGTAATTTATTGAATGTAGTTTGATAAATAAACTGTAATTTTATGTACTGTAAGTAATGAATCAATAAATATCATTTTAATTTCAATTAGACAAGTAAATTTGACAGGCATATGTACGTACATATCATTTTTTTAGCATATAATCAAATTATCAATATTAATTATAATTTGTAACCAGCAAATTTTATTGAGCTATCTTGTAATACAGTTAAAATAGATATCTACATACTTTCTAGATACTGAAACAAATTTTGTAAGTTAACCTTCAAATAATAAAAAAATCAAAGAATGAGTAAAAAAAATTCATTTGAATTGCACATGAATCTACCTAGAATTTGTTAGAAAATCCATATGGTAATCGTAGAAATCCTTGAAACTATTACAAAATCCACGTGTATCATACTAGAATTACAACGAAATTTATTTTAAAAACAACTGCATCGACGATAAAATTCATCCGGATAGACCAGCATCGACATTCAAATTATCTTGTTTGACAAAGAAATACATTAAAATTTACCAGTAGATCCACCTGGATTTACTAAAAAATCGAGCTGGATGAACCAAGTAATCCACTAAGATTTATTAAAAAAATTCTGGTGGAACGTCCTAAAAATCCAGTTGGATTGTCTAGGTAACTCAATTCACCTCGATTTATTACAAAATACACATATCGTAAATCATCCTAGAAATCCAGCTGGCTCGGCCAGTAAATCCACCTGGATTTACTAAAAATCAACGTGGATTGTCCTAGAAATCCAGCTGGATTAATCAGTAAATTCACGTAGATTTACTGAAAAAACCACGTGGATCATCCTAGAAATCCAGCTGGATTAACCAGTAAATTCACCTGGATTTACTGAAAAAACCACGTGGATCATACTAGAAATCCAGCTGGATATCCACCTGGAAATCCAGCCTGGGTTTCTAGCTGGATTTTTGCAATAGGGTTGTCTGAAACATTTTTTTCGATACCCATGAAATCTCCGAGTAATCTTCATCCGAAACTTAAAATGGGACACCCTGTATATAAATTTTAGTTTAGACTCTAGGTATCTCTAAAAAAAATATCGTTCTGCTAAAAGGTTTAACTAGATTTATAATTATAATTATATGTACATATATGTTTATATTATTATTATATATATTAATGTTATGTTCAGAAGTATAGATATTGAGTTTATATATTTCACTATATAGTATCCCTTTTATTTTAATTGTAATGCACGTATGTCATACGTGCAGGCAGTCCCATACCGGGTCTCTACCTGGTGTCTGACAAGTCGCTCCAGAATTGTAAGTCTTAGGTTGTGTCACAATTACCGTTGTGAACACACCTTAGTAGTGCGCGCTCTCTATATTTTCTCCTAACGTTTCGTTGCGCGCGCACTCTCTCTCTCTCTCTCTCTTTCTATTTGGCGCGTGCGCGGAATGGTATATTTGTCGCGTGCTTTCTTGTTCGCTCACGTTTAGCCGGGTGTCATGGCGTCGAATCCTTTGTTCAACTGTCACACATGACATCGACATTTGATTCACCTATAATTCGCGAAATATGTTGTGTCACTCACGGAATGCATCTAATTTTTATTTTTCTAATCTTAATTAATTAACATATAATTTTATTCACTTTCTCTATCACTTAATTTCTTAAAAGCGAACGCGACAGAAAAACTGCACTTTTCTGTTTATTCTCTAATTATTTTTATTTGTTCTGTAATACTGACTCACTGTTACTATCTCTATCTCTATCGCGATTCCGGCAACTTATATTCTCTTTTTCGTTGCAGTGTTAATTATGTTTTACTATTGTTTCTCTACTTTGTTTTGTTTGTAGAGCTTCCAACTACTATACAAAGGAGAATGTTTCGTTGTTCTTTGTCGCGAGCTCATGTAGCTTAGGCGAATGATTTTCTTTATTTTGTAACACTTTAATAATTCAATTGACATACCTCTATAAGTTTTATTTGTTGCGCAGCGGAAGCGTTGTAGGGTCGATAACCTGTTGGAATTTTGGATCGAAATGAATTAATTAAACACTAGCTTTAGGTTAAAATAGAAAATACAAAGTTATTTTATTTTCAAAGTCTATTACAATAGTTATACTCTAATGATGTTCTAATAATAATGATAATATTCTAATTCCTCTAATTATTGCGAGAGCTCTAACACCAAAGGCGCTCACTGTTGGAATGCCGCGCTAGTTTCCGCGGCAGTTGAACTCAGCGAAGGTGGCGTGGTATGCGTGCGCGCACATGCGCGCAAGAAGCTTAACATCTCCCTAGGTATCTTCATGGGGAAACGAGCGATTCGTCCGTAAACTAGTTCAAATGGGGTGTAACTAGTTCCATTATGTATACTTGTATTATATGTAAAAACCGCAAAGGGGGTTAACCGATCGCAATCGTCAAAACGCTCCGAATATATCCGTAAGAAATCGATTAATGGCGCATGGCTTCTCTCAAGAGACCCATTAGTCTGAGGTCTATATCCGGAAGTTGTTAAATGATGAATTTTGAATAAGTGTAATAATGATTCTACAATCTTCGAAAGAAAGCTTGTCCCGCGATCTGACAATATTGCTCTAGGGGCACCGAATTGGCATATTAAGTGTCTGGTTAACACGTCAGCGATAGTGGTTGCTCTAAGGTCCTTTATTGGCACTACAATTAAGTATTTGGTCAGATTGCATTGCATGGTCAGCAGGTGAGAATTTCCACTAGGAGTGGTTCGTAATTTTCCTACGGTGTCTATCGATACCTTGTCGAACGCCTCGATTGGTGTGTCCGTAATCAGCATCGGTTCCTTAGTCTTGTGACGATCGATTTTCTTCTCAAGACAACTCGGACATTTCCGTACGTAATTTAATATGTCCTTTCGTAGTCCTGGCCAATAATATCTTGCTCGAATTTTTTGGTATGTCTGGTTAATACCCTTATGGCCACCCACTAGGCTGTCATGTAGTGTTAGTTAATTAGTGCGGCGAGCGCGCCGAAAGTCTTTGTTCGTCAAGTCGACGCAGTGACGTCATCAACCTGCATACGCCAAGCAACGCTGTCGCTAGCCATTTGGATAACCTCAACACCCAGTTAGTCACCGCTACAAGGGGAACAATAAGATAAGTCATCATTTTTACGGAATATAATATAATATAATAAAACAAATATATTTAAATGTTTTTCTATTTTTTTAAATGTTAGTTCACGATTAAAAATTAAAAAAATTGTTGTCCATCTTTGATCCCCTGCCCAGCTTTTAAAAAAAATTACACAAAAATTTAGAACATGACATTTTGTAACTCATTCCAAACTTTATTAAAATCACTTATTAAAAAATTATTTTCACCAAATATTACGCCGGTATCAGCTGTTTCCCTAAAATTTTACACTTTACTTAAACTTTTTATACCTCCGTATATTCAAACGATAAGAAAGAACGCATATAAAAGAAAATGTTCCGTTTTTCACGTAGAATACTGTGGAATTTCATTTTCGATTTTATTCGAAAAAAGATTTTTCAACATTTTTCGCCATAAATTGATACGCTGGAAGACGTCATATAAATATTCTTTTTCTCTCTTAAAATAATGTGCGGAAAAAAATTTACAATTTATGCAAAAAAAGTTTTTTCATCTTTTTTTAGAGATAAAAATTAATTTGTTATTAAATATAATAATTTTGTCAGGAGGGTTTAGTTTATGTAAAAAACTAACCATAAATTTACGTAAGATATGCAGTTTAGGTGTCCATGAGCGTAATGAGATTATTGCACTTCTCGGACTTGAAATGAGTATCGGGCCATTGCAAAATAGTTGAACGTTGATAGGTGCACAGTCGCTTATATAATTTTTATCACCGAAAAATATTTAAAAAAAATTTTTCACACAAATTGTAATTTTAATTTCATGCAACTTATTCTAAGAGTAAAAAAGAACATTGTTATGATTTAGAAAATATTTTTTGTGTATTAGCGCTTCAGCTTAGGGTCGAAAAAATTTTATTTTTCGAAAAAATCTAAAATGAAATTTCATGGTATTCTACGTGGAAAAAGAAAGATTTGCTTTCATATACGTTTTTTTATCATTTGAATATACAGATATAAAAAATTAAAATAAAGTGTAAAATTTTAGGGAAACAGCTGATACCGGCGTAATATTTGATGAAAATAATTTTATATTAAAGTGATTTCAATAGAGTTTGAAAAGAGTTACAAAATACCATGCTTCAAATTTATGTGTGATTTGTTTTCAAAAGCTTGGCAGGAGATGAAAGATGGCCAAGAATTTTTAGAATTTTCAATCTTGAATTATTGTTTGAAAAAAAAGAAAAAACATTTGATTGTATTCATGATACACGCTATTTGAAAGCTCTTAAAAAGGCTTTCTTAATGCATTCCTATTTGACCCTGTGCATTAATTTGCCTCAAAGATGGACAATTTCAAAGTTTAAACAATTTTTCCCAGCGGGGGGGGAGGTAAAAGTATTTTACCGGGAGTATATGTATATGGAAGAATTTCATGTATGGTTTTATTGCTTTTCTTAATAGATATTCAATAAAGAACTACATTTTTAACACCAGAAAATTAATAGTATTTCAATAATATTTTAAAAAACAAGGAAACGGTTTCATATGAAGAAAAAGGTAAATCAATCTTAATCAAGTACGTTTTCATTGCATATTTTTTGAACAAGTAAACGAAAATACTTTTGTATTATATTTTTTGATCGAGCATTGAAAATCCTTTCGAATACAATTGTTTATATATTTTTATTAAAATTTTTGTTGATAGGTTAATGGATCTTCCAGTGTCTACAATTACTGTTGACGTGTATGTTTTTGAAAACATGGAGAACTTAAAAAATCTTGGTATAGTGTAATGTTGTTTCTTTTTTGAACAAATAGTAGATGTATTTCTGAAAATGCTTACCAAATTTGAAACTAAATCTGCTAGAGTAAAAGGTTTGTCATTTCATTCAAAACGACCATGGATTTTAGCAAGGTTGGTATGATTTTTTTTGTAATTATGAATTTAAAAATTTAAGAAAAATAATTGTGTATTATATTTAGAAAAATTTCTGTATTTTCAAATCATTGATAATATATTTTTATCTTCAATTTATAAGATACTTTTATATAGAAGAATTTATGGAAGTATTCAATAGTTAATACTTCAATATAAAAATTTTTAAATGTATATGAAATAACATTGATTATAACAAATAATTAAAGTATGTGGAATCGCTTATTGTAAACTATTCTTATTTTTGGTGAAGTATAAATTTTGTAACATCTGATAGTTTATTTTAATACTAGAGTAAGTTCTTTTCAAATGAAATATCATGTAATGAAATAGACAGCTAATAATACGATTATTGGCAATAATTATTCACAAACAATTGTTATTTTCACTTTTTTCTCTGAGCTGAGTTTGAAAAGGAATACATAGTATGGACAGGGAAGTAAGGGTACAGGTGAGTGATGGGTAAGTGGCAGCAGGTAGTTATAGACTTTTTCTATTATATATGTATTTTCATAATCAATAATTGAATTTCATTGTTTAGAATCCAAATGAATATGTTGTCCTCTTTTTATTAATATATGCACAAAAGAAAATATAAATTTTTAAATAAATATAAGTGTATTCAAATACTATATCCAAGGGTTAAAGGGTTAATGGACATATGGTAATTTTATTTTAAAGATGCACTTTGTCATGATATATTCAAGTGATTTCAATGATGAAAAAAGAAATTTTTTTAACAAAGAGAAGAAATCCTAAAGACACCTACAGATGATGAGTACTGTTTTATTCGCCCAAAAAGAATAGAAATAATTTGTTAAACTTTTGTTCAATTGAACATTAATTATGTAAATTGAAAGAATAAAAAAAATTGAGTCTTGGAATAAATATTAAATTTTTGAATGATTTTTTATGAAAGTACGTACTAACTGAAATCATATTTTTAATACAATAGTTAATATTTACAAATTTGATATCTACGAGATAAACATAAATAAGTTAGAAGCATATTTATTATAAGTAAGTTATTTAGCAGTTTTTTTTGTATTGTTTTCACATAATTTAGCATAATCTTTAAACACTTTGAATAAATTTAAAAGATTTTGTGTTATGGAACTGTAATTATTTCAATTAATTTTTCCACAAGCATGATTTCGAGCCATACTATTTTATGATAATTTCATAAGCTTTTAACTGATAGTTATTAAAGTAGAATATTCTATAGACTGTTTTTAGTGTTAGATTAACTATTGGCTATAGCAGGGCGTACAGATCTGAGTCCTGTGATCACCAAGAACCTTGTAATCTTGAAAAAAATTTTTATTTCTAGAATTAGGATTTTTTTTTAATTTTCAAAAAGAAAATTTTGAAATCGGTGATGAATGGAATAATATACAGAAATTTAATTTTTTTTATTTTCACACACACGGAGTACAGGGCTTCTTAAATATATGATTAAAATATACAAGCTGGAAATTTCAAGGTGAACAAGGTTTTTTCCCTTGTGTTATTGTCAATTGTCGTAGAAGTGATATTTTGTGAGTAAAAAGAGAGAATGTAATGATAAAAGGGTATATTAAGACATATTTCCAATTTAAACAATTATCACACAAAATTCATAGCCTGAAAACTAGTGGAGGTGATCGACTGTCATTTGCATGATATTTCTGAACAATTCTAATAAAAATCTCGGATTATGATCTTACATTCATGTTTTAGAATTTGCTTCAGAATTAGCAGTTGACTTGCACTTTTACAAGATAAATAATGGCGCTTGAACATTAATATTTGAACTAATAATTTTTTCCAGATTAAATTAAATATAGATACAAGATTCAGTGAAGCAAAGTATGCATTCTCCTTTATTCTATTGCAGTAGTACATTCGACAACCATTTTCCTAAGCAACTCATAAAATTCCACAAGCACTTCCCTTTCCAAGTCTCCCTATAAGTACTCTCAGGGAAGAGAAGAAACCATCACAGCATAGATGCTATACTCTTTGTTTTTTTTCACCAATCGTAAACTCCTTACAGTAGATTCCAGGCTACTAAAGGCTGTCTTGGTACACGTTCCATTGGTTTTACTAAAGGTATTGAAAGGACTAAGAATTGCATGCCTTTCCTTCTTTTTTCTCTGGTTTTTAGCCTGCCTAGATTGAGGAAAGAGGAGACCCTTGTCAAGTATTTTTTGCCTAAGAAGCTTTTATCTTTGTAATCCATTCAGGTGTCAATTAGAGTTTGGTCTAACTTTCAAGTCCTGATCTCCACCCTCTCAGTGATTTGTTTTTCTTATTTTTGTTATAATATTACTCCCTGAATTATAATTCTTTTTTTAACCTATCTATCAGAATATTCACGTTAGACATATCTGCAGTGTGTATGTAAACAACCTGTTTAGGTCCAAAACGCCATTCGTGTATATATAAACCACAGTCTTTGGAACATCATATCTAATATTGTAAGCGTTCAAAAAAATTGCTCTTTGTAATTCTGTTATAGTTATTTCAGTTTGTAATAATATATAATACGCTTCTACTAACAACGGCCAGTGATTTAAATACGATTCAAATGCTGGAATCTCTTGAGATACTATTTTGAGTATCGGTATACTGTAAAAAATAATCCAATTTAACCACTCTGATCCTTTCTAATGCGATGGATCATTCAAAGAACAAGACAGTGGTACTTTTTGAGGAGGAACTTGGATGTTTTTCATATAATGATTTATTATCTTTATTTTACTTTTAGGAATTGAATATGGCTCGTTTGACAAAACAAACCAATAACTGGAAAATTGTTTTCCTGTGCCAAGATCAACACAGTGTAACGAGCATGGTATAAATCTATCAATTATATTGAAAATATTGAAAAGTGTCAAAGAAGTTACGTTTTTTATACCGAAAAGCATTTGATTGTATTGCTCTCTACATTAATTAAAATTTTACATCGACTGTTCGTCTTTCAGGATGATGATCTAGTATGGGATATTTTATACTGTAGTTAGTATTATGACGAAGTCTAACATCTGAATGCAGAAACTAATTACACCCATAATAAGCATTGAATTGAACACTGCCCCGCATAAGCGCACGTATAATAGCATATACGCAACAACTTACTGCATACACATGTAAATGTCTTTTTTCATATTTCAACTAATATCACAGGTATATAAGATTTTATATTACAAGCGAGCTATAGTATTCCCGAAGGCTTTTGGTGCGCTGAATCCAGCGTACCAAATTTGCCTCAGAATTGTTCTATCAGGTCAGGTTTTTGAGGTATTCTAACCCTGAAAGTGTATAAAACACTGTTTTTTGACATATTTGAGGTTATGTAGCATCGTAAATAAGTTTCTTCATTAAAAACTATTCAAAGCATCTTAAAGTACAAATCATCCTCCTGTAAATACTGTTGAGTTTGCTCAAATATCTTTTTGTATTTATAAAATTTCACAAAATTCGAAAATCCATTAACCCTTTGTTGTACAAATTTTTCTGTTCAATGAACTTACAACGAACATTGTTACTCGAGGAGGGGAGGGGGGAAGGTTTGCTGATCACGAATCTGAAGTCAATGCACACGCACGTATATACAAACGCACAAGCATGCATTTTTTCAATATTCTAACAGCATAGATCGAAAGTTCAGACAATTTTACGTCAGAAATGTCTATTCTTGATTTCTATTCCTGATAAAAGATCAACTGAAAAGAGTGAAAGAAAATCGTCCACTTAGGACTTAATAGGTTAATAGATTTTCGAATTTTGAGAAATTCATAAATATGAAAGTTTCAAAATGCGATATCATGGCGATAAACAAAAATATTTAGGCAAACTCAACCGTATTTTAAAGGGGAAGATTTGTACTTTAAGGTACTTTAAATAGTTTTCTGTGATAAAACTTATTTACGATGCTGCATAACCTCAAATACGTTAAAAAACAGTGCTTTTTGCACTTTTATGTTAGGATATCTCAGAAACCTGTCGTTGTGGAACAATTCTGAGGCCAGATTTGGATTCAGCGCATCAAAATCCTTCGGAAATACCATAGCTGGCTTGTGATACATAAAATGATCTATTATTTGTATACTTGTGTATCTTATTCCATTTTCGGAAAGTTCATTTTTGCGGTCGACAAAAAGATGTAGAAAATATTTCATGATTGTTTTATTACGGCCAAATCATAGCGCAAAAGTAATTTTTTTCTTTGAACGTATACTAGCGGGATTTCATTATTTAATTGGCTATCTGGAATAGTTTGGACTATTAAAAGTTGGACTTCCGTCACTATTGAATGTAACAGCCGCATAAGACTCTTTGTGATCATCTGGCAATGATGCAACAATTCCTTATATATTTGACCATAAATATCTCGATAACCAGCAATATCTTCTTTATTTCTTCGATACACAACAACAATATAGAAATCCTTATTTGCTTCTATTAGATTTTGTTTTTGACTTATAACATCAATAACGACAAAATAATCACTAAATGAACTGAATGATGAATTTTTTAAATTTGGATCATTATTGCGCAATTCACAGAATATTGTCCGCTGTTCCTTTCCAAATGTTTCAAGTTAGACTTTATATTCTGGGCATGTAGCGTGATAATCTTTACCTCCAACTCGAATTAAATAACTTATTAGCTGATAAGAATTTTCCGGAAAAATTTATTTATTTAGGAACATATTCTGCATCTTAAACATATCTATTATTCCTTTAACTGATATATGATATTTCAAGAAAAATTTCATTATAGCTAATATTATTTCAAGCTTACTAATGTTTATATGTGAATGGAGACAGTCTATATATTCTTCATTATAAATGATTTCATCTAATTTTTAAAATTTCCTTGTAACGGTTGCATTCTTATCAAGTAACAAATTAGTGAAATCCTCCTCGTAACTACTGTCATAATCTTCAATATCCATTAGTATTGAAACAGTATCCTACAAGCAACTCCCTCTT